GCGTCCTGCTGACACACTGTGCTTCCAGTCCTTCAGTGCACCTCAACACCAAGGTCACCAATCCTTGTCCCACAGCACAGCATCCTCCATACTCCACTTCCATTATTACTTCTCTTCTGTTCCATTGTTATTTCTCTTCTGTATGTCTTTTGGGTCACCAGAATTATAAAATAGATGGGGAGAATGGAGAGGTTATTTTTATGGGAGTTGGATGTGGCTGACACAAACAGACCTGCAGATGGCTGGCTGGTTTCATAGCTGGATGCCAGGGCAATATGTGTCTCCCCATATCCACCTTTTGGGCACTATGGTCATCGTACAATTTTAGCCTGACTGTAGGTAGTCAAGTGAAGGCTTCAAACACAGGTCAAAAAACTTCTCTAGGCAATCTGAACAGTTTTAGGAAACGACTCCAGGATATTGCAGTAAGTACCTTTAACCGTTTTCTCTTTTTTCCTTCCCCTGCAGTATAATCTCTTTGTGTCAGAAGATCAGTTTAATTACCCAAAAAAGCCAGAAGCAATCACCTTTGAGACTCCCTTTGGGAAGTTTGGCATTTTCACTTGCTTCGACATCCTTTTCCGTGAGCCTGCCGTGGTCCTAGTGAGCGAGCTGCAGGTGGACACCGTGCTCTTCCCAACGGCTTGGATGAATGTCCTGCCCTTTCTGACTGCAGTTGAGTTTCACTCTGCCTGGGCAATGGGCATGGGTGTCAATTTCCTAGCTGCCAATACACACCACACCAACATGTCTATGACAGGTAACTAATTCTCACTTTGTCGGAAAAATGTTTATAACCATGAATCTTTATTCCCTGATCTGCGAGACGATTTTATCTGAAAGGTGAAGAGTCTAGTCTCCAAATTTTAAATCTGACAAATCCTGTCTCCATGGGTTCCATACAAGGCAAAATTTGTGGTGTCTTCTTTTCTTTGTCCTGGCTTCTTAGGACCTCCCTCCCTCCCTCCCTCCCTCTCTCCCTCTCTCCCTCTAAAGCAACGCTGTTGCATCCAACAGAAAACTGGGGAGGCAATAAACACAACAATAATATGAAATCCTTTGCCTTTGGCCACACTGAACAGACCTTACCCAGGGAAATAAGTACTGATCATTGCCAAAGCATGAGCGCTATGTACTAGTTGCTAATGGTTACCTTTGGTGAAATTTCTGTAATATTTATAAAACAGTGAGTAAGCTAACAATAGGGACAAATAAAAGGACAATATATTCTTTTTGGACTGACTGTTGTGCTCTCCTCAGGGAGTGGTATTTATGCACCAGACGGAGCCAGAACGTACTACTACAATATGAAAACTGAGGACGGTCACCTCCTTGTTGCCAAACTAGATTCACACCCTCGCCTTTCTCCTGCCTTCCTGCCTGCTGTCAACTGGAGCTTATATGCTTCGAATGTCGAAAGGTTCTCACCGAATGATGATGATTTTAGAGGATACATCTTCCATGACCAGTTCACTTTCACTGAGCTCACTAAGCCTGAGGGGAATCTCACCATTTGCCAGAAAGACCTTTGCTGTCACTTGAGCTACAAGATGGCAGGGAAACAAGAAGATGAAGTTTATGTCCTAGGTGCTTTTGATGGGCTTCACGTTGTTGAAGGACAATATTATCTCCAGGTGATTCTTTGTGTGTGTGTGTTTATTTTAGAAAGCTTCTTTACAGGAAGAAACCTTCAGACCTGTGAGGAAAAAAGACAATTACTTTCTTGTATGCTGCAGTCCTGGTGTCCCATTGTTAGCAATGGGAAGTAGTTGCTACAGTGTCCAAGCCTGCTTACTTTTAAATCCAGAAAATGCAGTGGAGAGGTCTCTAAACTTCTTTTAAGTTCCTAGAGTGCAATCACTATTTTTTTAGGTGTGCAATCACTATTTTGTGACTATCTGCAGTGCCTGGTCTGAATCTTCTCTGTAATCTTCACCGAACAGTTGCTGTTGAAAAAATCAGTTGGATCATATCTCTGTTTGTGAGACACTCTGATAATTTAGAGTCACAGAGATGTTAAATTTTTGTCATGACTCAAATCATAGCAATGAAGTTTACTGAAATGATATATGACTTTTACTGGAAATGTTCACTCTTCCTCTCTTTTAATCAAATGTTTGGGAAGACAGTGAGTTACATCCTGGTTGGATTTGCTTAAACCCATAGTAGAAAACCTTCATTGCCTTCATAATTAAGTTACTGTGCCAACAGATTATTCTTTTTTTAGTTACTTCTGTCTGTCAGCATGGCCCTTGCATGTCAGCTGGTATAGGATATGAAGGGAGGTGCTAGCCAGCAAACAACTCATCTAATACATTTGGGAAGATAGCTTGAATAAATTCAGTTCTCAGTGAGCTTGCTTGGAAAAATTGTTTCAGTGGTTATGGAAGCTGCCAGATGGTCTCTACCAGTAAGGAATTTTCTAAAGAAGATGGGAATTTCTGCTCTTCCTTTTTCCCTCAGATTTTTTTTTTAATTTCCTCAGAACATACTGAAAGAATTTTATTCTTTGTTTCTATATTTGCATTTCAACAAAAAAAAACATACTTGCTGATGAATAATACTTCTGATGTTTGTAAACAGTTTTCTTCTATGCCCCAATATCTGATGCAAAGAGGAAAAACTCCATCACCTGCCAGCAAAACTAATATTCTTTGATCTTCACAGGAGTGCTTGCCCTATTTCATATTTCTTCATGATGTCCATAAACATTTATCAGCTGAATAATTAAGGACTAAAGGAAC